TTACATAATTATGCTTCACTCTAAAAGGCTTTCTTTTGCCACATGTAACCTTTGTGGAGAAGACAATGCCAGACAATGACAAAAGATAACGAACTGCAACCAAGAATATACTTAAATGTGACATTAATGTAATGTTTTAAGACACTTATTGCATGTTTAAATGCAATTATCCAAACTTTAGAGTGCTTGTTTTGACCCACTCGGACTTAAGCACATTTTTATATGTCCTTTTGTAATTAATTGTATTGTTTTCGAAATATGGTTAAAGTGTAGAGCACTTTTGAATTTACTGACTATCATTAATGGTAAACTGAGTTATATTTTAATGTTGTTTCCACTTAAACAACATTAACTTAAATGTAATGTATTTAAATGTTTTGTAATTACACGTTTGTAATAATGTAGCCACAAATAACAATTCGGTCAAAGGTTCTTTAAAGAACCATCTCATTCTTACACTCTAAAAAATGCTGGGTTAAATACGACCCAGTGCTGGGTAAAATAGGGACAAACCCAGCAATTTGGCTGTTTTGACCCAGCGGTTGGGTTACTACCCAGAAGGCTGGGTTAAACATTTAACCCAACTGCCGGGTCAAAACAGCCAACAGCCAACTGGGTTGTATTTAACCCAGCATTTTTAGAGTGTAAGATTGAATGTTTACCAATTGTTGTCTTTATTAGAGTGATGTTAATTCCAAACATTGTGCAAATGAATTGTGTATAATGTCTCTTGTGTGTGTCACACATGAAGAGTGCCATTTGTATAATGCAAAGAGTTGCTGCCTATGTAGAGTGTTCAACATCGCTCACTTATGAAGTACCATTTCAATTAGAATTCTTCCTGAAGCAGAGACTGCCAGAAGTTCATCAGAGGCAAACATTCTTTGCAATTAATCATCTGTCAGTGAGCAGTGAACATGTCACAGAAAACAAAGACTTGACCCGGTGAAAGGAACCTTTCATAATTCCCCAAATTTGTCTCAGAGAGCCAGAATCAAACAGCGTCAAAGCCTTGGTGTCAAAGTGTTGTTGTGCCAAAATAGAAATACTTCAAATTAATCACGTGATGAAAAAGAATGGAGTAAATGAATAAACACTGTAAGAAAAATTCACAGGAATTCAAAAGAGAAAGCGAGGCATGAGAGAGAGAGAGAGGCATTCTGTGGAAGTCTGAGCTGCTAATTTGTTGCAGTGGGAGAGGGAGGAGCCACAGGGAGGGAGATTTGGGAAGAGAGTCTAGAAGTGCTCTATGTGTGAGTGACAGGCAGACTGTCAGGACCGTTGTGGTGCAGCTCAGAGTTTATGTGTGTGTGAACCGAGGATTTACTGAATGTGTGCGTGTGTGTGCAGTATCATTCACACAGACGGAGCTATCCTGTGTGTCTCAGGGAGAATGTAAAGTGAATTGAAGGATTAGAAGAGTGTGTTGTGTGTGTGTGTGTGTGTGTGTGTGTGTGTGTGTGTGTGGCACTGGTCTGGAATACTAAGTGGATATGTGATAAAATCTGGATCGAGCTGCAATGCCTACGGGTAAGAGATCACACTTGCATGCAGCATATAAACAGATGATAAACAGTCTTTGTTGTTACTGTTATTATGTTAGTATGTTTTATTGTACTTTTGTGTGCACTTGGTTTCTTTAGATATGTTGGTCATGTGTTTTATGTGCAGAATCTTGATGAATATGTGTCTTTATGGCTTCTAAAGTCAGATCAGCTCTTGAAAGCTTCCTGTGAATGTATGTGGCAACATTTGAACACTTCTCTGATTGGTGTCAGAGCTGCTGTGCTTAAACTGCCCGAGTCCTGCCGTTAGGACACTCTGTGTGTGTGTGTGTGTGTGTGTGTGTGTGTGTGGTGTGTGTGTGTATGTGTGTTGGCAAGTTGTGAACTAAGAGTATTTATTTGGCTTGGTTTGTGCTGGTGGGCTCTTGTACCAAACAGAAGTCCTCTACACAACCTCAACTGACCGAAGTGTTTATAAGTGCATTCATATATGTGTGTGGGTTGGTTAACTTAGCTATACTTTAGGCAGAAAATTGCCTCCAGACATTACGCAGACCTGACCAAACCTTTATTTGAAGACACTGTCAAAGATAAATGTGATTCATAAATAAAGTAAATATTAAATAGATACACTCTAAAAATGCTGGGTTAAATACAACCCAGTGCTGGGTAAAATAGGGACAAACCCAGCAATTGGGTTGTTTTGACCCAGCGGTTGGGTTACTACCCAGAAGGTTGGGTTAAACATTTAACACATCCGCTGGGTCAAAACAGTCCAATTGCTGGGTTTGTCCCTATTTTACCCAGCACTGGGTTGTATTTAACCCAGCATTTTTTAGAATGTAGTGTTTGGGTTGTTTGGAGTCATTCTAAATAGATTTAAATAGCTAAGTAGATGTGTGTGTTGTCGTGAGCATGTGTTTGATAGGATTTGACATGTATTACACTGATTTGTAACTAAAACAGATTATTGGATTTTACGAGAAACTACTATTTCAGTCCAACTTCAAATTTTCATATTTAATTCAGTGCTACTTGTGAGATTTACTAGCATTTTCTGACTGAAAATTGTTTCAAAGTCAATCATCTACTTTTTTTTTTCTTTTCAGTGTAAATGTAATGAGTAAGGGTACGTTTCGGTTATGTCGTCGTTGTGAGGAAACCTTTCGCTCTCTGTCGCTCTCCCCCACCCCTGACCTAAATTAGTCCCCCATGCGTTAATGTTTTCGGGAGGATAATAACAGTTTAGAGTCTGCTTTAGACAATTCCAGCACCCCCTCAGGACATCTGTCCCTAAAATAATACACCCCCCGGGACGCAACCCAGCTGGAGAGAGCGAGAAAGAGTTTGAAGCGTGTGTTTGAAAGAAGGCATGGTGAAAACCTGTCAGAACTTATTTGCAGATAACAATTACTTGTTTCAAAAGTTCAAAAAGCAGTCATCCTAGGAGGTTTACCCTGGCTTATCTAGAGCTTCTCGTTAGAAATTGTATTTTAAAAGTACACTATACCTTTAGGGGTACACCTTTGTACCTTATTTACCCCTAAAATGTTAGTACCTTAAAGGTACATATCAAGGTACTAATATGCACCGTTTTAATCACATTTTAACCTAACAGTGTACTTTTTCCTCAAATTAGGAAGTTGCCATAGCCTGTTCATTTGATTTATTTGAGCATTTGTGTGCTGGGGTTATAAATGCATGGCGAATATAAATGTCAGGTTTAGGTTTCTCTGAAGCAAATCCGTCTCAGTGAAATCTAATCTGTGGGTAGCACTGGGGCAGTGGGTCACATTCACCCCGTATGTGTGTGTGTGTGTGTGTGTGTGTATATTAGTATGTTCATTCATGCAGGTTAAGTCCCTTTGTCACATCCAATTCTTTAAATGCATTCAGTCCTCTAAGGGAAATTCTTACCAGCTTGTCAGTAATTTGGTTGTTATAAATGTGTAATTAACACATTGCTTTGAAACGTGCACCATGTTATAAATGTGTAATAAAGAATGTACATGTTATATTATACATAATATAGAAGGTGAATAAAACGAATCATTCATGTTAATGGCATCACACTGCTGCTGTCTGGGAATAGAAGCACATCAATAACAGATCCTGATCCTCCAGACAGGGCAAACATAGTTCAGATGTCATACCGGACAGCAGCGCTTTGCAGATGACTGCAGAGATCACCAGACAAAGTCTGATATATGCTCATCCATCCATCAAGAGTGTGTATGGGTCTGTCCTTCTCCCATATGGAATAGTTTTTGTGGTTGATTAATTGATATTATGTTCATTCATGCAGGCTAAGTCCCTTTGTCACATTCTATTCTTTAAATGCATTCAGTCCTCCAAGGGAAATTCTTACCAGCTTGTCAGTAATTTGGTTGTTATAAATGTGTAATTAACACATTGCTTTGAAACGTGCACCATGTTATAAATGTGTAATAAAGAATGTACATGTTATATTATACATAATATAGAAGGTGAATAAAACGAATCATTCATGTTAATGGCATCACACTGCTGCTGTCTGGGAATAGAAGCACATCAATAACAGATCCTGATCCTCCAGACAGGGCAAACATAGTTCAGATGTCATACCGGACAGCAGCGCTTTGCAGATGACTGCAGAGATCACCAGACAAAGTCTGATATATGCTCATCCATCCATCAAGAGTGTGTATGGGTCTGTCCTTCTCCCATATGGAATAGTTTTTGTGTTTGATAAATTGATATTTAAGATTTTCCTTGGACTGCAGTCAGACTGTTTTGTCTTTTGCAGTTCTTTGATGGGTTATAGTAGATAGAGGGATTGATGTATGGAAAAAGAAAGAAATAACTCTCCTTGTCTTCAGTGTACGTCGGTTGTTACAAAGTAACTGAAGTGATGAATCTTCTGAGTTAGAATGTCCATCTTTGAGAACATTCTACAATCAGAACGTCAGTCGGTTGGTCTGATGACTTCTGGGAGATAACGGGCCGGTCTGATTGCAGGAAATGGCCAGCGAAGAAGAGCTATTTATAAAGATGTGATTACTCCAAGTCATTATGTTTGCTTGAGCGATAAGGACTTTTTCTCAGGGATCCTCAGTCCTGGAGTAGATGAGAATTTGGAGTTGTTTTGGGAATGTTTTCGGCATGTTATGAATCCGTTACAGGCATTCCAGCTCCAGAAGTCGTGGTGGAGTTCCAACATGTTTCAGAGACCAGAATAGAAGTTGTGTTGCTTGCGTGAGTGTGTGTGCTGCTCTCGTGCAGTCGGGCTGGAAAGATTTAATCCCATTGGTTATAGACACGCAGCGCTTGGCTGCAAAACACACATTGTCGTGGAGATATCAAGACCATGAGAGCTTTGTGTAATTTTGCGCATTTGTGTCCGATTCTTTTTATGTGTGGTGATCAGAGTTCTCTTAAAGCTAATGTGACAGTGTAAAATCTTGGTTTTTGTTTGCATATGTTTCACGCTGTAGGATTCATTTATAATGAATACACACAAATGCCAGCGTTTGAGACTGAATGGCATGATACAGCAGAAGAAGGTATCATTTTAAAAGTAATATAGCGTAGTTTTTTAATGAAAAGCAGTCAATGACGCACATTTGGAAATTAATTCGCAATCTGATGCGCATAGTTGCTGCCACATATGATAATGAGGTTATCAGACTGAATCCACCATTAAAGGATTGACTTTATCTGTCTGAGCAGATAGACAAGTCTGATATAAAAAATGGGCAATCAATCAGGCAGAAAAAGCTATAATGCTTAGACCAAAAACATGCATGCAAGTAAACAATACTAATAATACAGGAAATATTCATTCAAAATACTGTCATAGTTAGCTTTACTCTCTTGTTTTTCTAACCCTAGATTTTTTTTTCTTTTTACAAACACAAAAGGAAATCTTTGGAATCGTAAAAGCACCAAAAAATAATCATAAAAGTAGTCAATATAACTCATTACAAGTTGTCTGGAGTCATATTATAGCTTTGTGTGAAGAACAGACCGAAGGTCACTGATAATATCTCCCTCTGCTCAAGCTCCTAAATATCATTTACAGTATAAATGCAGCTAAATTTCTCCCTTTGTGTTTCACGGATGAACAAAAAATAATATGAGAGATTGTGAATGAGTAACATAATTGTAATTTATGAGCACACCCATGTTTTATATCAGAATGGTGCTGGTAAAATCGTTACACCACAAAACATATGGCAGCAGCATTTCATAAGAACTTAATTTGTGCTAAATGAACCATTTAACAATCATCTGCATCCAACCATCTTTAATATGTTTAATGCTTTGATGTTCTCACAAGCTTCTAATTTCAGTTCCTGCAACAGTCTCCAGTGAAGCACAGTTCACTGGCCACACACTCAAAAGCTCACATTCTCTACAGATGGACATGTGTGATGTAACATTACTTACAGTTTGACCTTTATATACACGTGACACTACATTATAGCATAAATAACATCAGTTGCACACTTTGTAGTTGCATTTGATTGCACATATCTGAAAAGTGACCATTCTGCAGACAAGTAGAGTCATTCATACTCATGTTTGAGTATTTGACATGTTTATGAGCACGTGTTTGGGAATGATTATGTGTGCTTACTGTACAGTATGTGCAGTCAGGAACTGCTTACTGTGCATAATGACAGGGCGGAAATGTACACAGACTCCAGTTAGACTATTTCACTGTGTGTGCATACTGTATATCTCGATGAAAAACCATACACGACTGGGTGGGAGTATATAGATTTTTGATGTGTATGTAGTTTTGTGTTAATTTTGCTAAGGCTAAAATCACTACTACTATTGTTCATACTAAGGATTAAAATTGTTTTTAAATTTTACTTTGGAATGCAATTCCTTCCAACACAGTTTGTGCTACAGACATGAATGATACTTCATATACGTCTTCTTGAAGGAAAGTGTGCTGTTACATTTCCAAGCAATAAGACTTGTCACACTGATGAAGGCAGGTTGTCTTTTTTATCTCCTGCTTTGATCCCAATACAA